GAAATCGACTTTTTGGGAATGCACTTTTGTCACAACACTTATCAACCTCAACCTCACATTGCAGAGAAACTTCTCAATTTTCCGGATAAGAATCTGACCATCAAGCAGATCTAACAATTTTTGAGGATAGTCAACTACATTAGGGAGTTCATCCCTAACCTTGCTAAGTATACAAGTCCCTTATCCAAACTCTTAAAAAAGAATCCACCTCCATGGAGATTAGAGCAAACCAGAGCCATTAAAGAACTGAATAAGATAGCTCATACTCCTCAAGCTCTGAAGATTCTAGGTAACGGAAAGCGAATACTGCAAACTGATGTCAGTGATGAATACTAGGGAGCAATGCTCATTGAAGAAGACAATGGAAGAACATACTATTGTGGCCATGCCAGCGGACAATTCAAAGAAGCCGAGAAACATTACCACACCACATACAAGGAAACCTTGTCCGTTAAGAATAAAATAAAGAAGTTTGACTTTCACCTCAGAGGACATCACTTTGAGATACAAATGGACAACTCTTGATTCCCGAATATCTTAGAATTCAAGAATAAGATGCCTCCTAATCCTCAGATTCTCAAGCTAATGGACTGGTGTAGACCCCAAATCTTGTCCGGCCTCATAATAAAGACCAGAGGACATTCTATTCGAAGATGGATGAAGCCTAAGAAGCCACTAGGAGAGACTATTAGGCCCCATACTAGGATAGGAGGGATTTTTAGCATGTAAATAAGGATTTTTGCCTTTTAGGGTCGAGACCGCCGTCTCGGATTCGGGACCGCCATCTCGCCTTGCGAAAGTGGCAAGACGACCGTCTCGACCTGACAGGCGCGAATCCCTATAAATAGTCGCATCATTCCCCTCATTTCACACAGTTCTTCCATTCTCTCTCTAGTCCCTTCCTCAAATTCTCTTTCTAGAATCCCTCCGAAGCATTTCCGGAGTTTTTGAGAGTTTTTTCTAGCGTTTTCGAGAGATTCCGGCGCTATAAAGAGTGAAGGGTTGCCAAAAAGCACCCTCATTACCAAGAAATTAATAGAAAGCTTACCTCAAAGGTTTCTACACACTCTCTCTCTCCTTTACCGCTTTATTTTTAATTATGCATTAGATATTAGGGTTATGTAGTCATAATTTTAAATTCCGCAAATAAAGGGTAAAAGCGTATTTTCACCGGTTTAATTATTTAAAATAGTTGGCCTATCATAGGGAACCCGAAAGGGGCGTCGTAAGGGAATTAACACTTCCCTTACACGTAACTAACTCCCTTACCCAACTCTGGTTCTAATGACCAAAGTTGGTTTTTTGAAAATCAACGCCTTTTTACTCCTTTTCCGATGTTTCCGGTAAAAATATCGGTGGTGACTCCAGAAGAACCCTTCAAAATTAGTTCTTGGATTAGTCCAGTTATCGGACAATCCAAGAGCGTCTTTTCGATAACCTCGCCCCTAGGTTTAGCCCGGTTATCGGACAACCTAAAGGCGTTGTAACCACACCAATAAAAACGCGCAAATTGGCAAGTCGGAACCATCGCGTCGCTCCGACCGCCTCGTTTTGACGGCGGCGACAACTAGTTTTCCAGATATGATTTTACTATTAAGCACATTAAAGGAAACCAAAACATAGTCCCTGACTTCTTGTCCAAACCCAAAAAGACCATCCAATTGATTGTTGACACCTATAGTCTTCCTCTCATCTTCGTCAAAGTTTATCCACCCGGTCTAAACCCAACCACACCAACCGATATTCTCCATTATGCTAAAACTCACTATTTCTACTTTCTACACGAGACCATGAGATACAAAATAGTTTCAACCTCTTTGTTTAACCCTAATCTTCCCTTTGGGGGAATCTTTGAACTATTCTGTGAACCTGGTTGGGACCTTTGCGAACCCACATTATGGACCATATGGTGCGATACTATTTAATACTTCATTCCTATTGCACTAAAGACCCAAACAACCTACCAGATATTGACAATTCCCTATAAAGATGATTTTCATTTCTGGACTCTACTTGAATGGTTCTTACCACTGCCATGATGGAGACAACAACTTAACGAGATCCTTGACCTTCAATAGCAGAAAGGATTCACTGAAGATACTCTCAAAGGTCACATTTCCATCTTCATCATCCATCGTCCATATTTCCTAAACTCTGTAGGTCAATTATGGTCAAGAAATGAAGCATACTGTTGGGGCAACTTCAAGACTTATCCTCTTGACAAAAGGTAAACCAACTGGCACGACATCTCTGTGAGATCAATCACTACCGCTACAAGCCGGTAGACCCCACTATCGCCAGCACATCATAAAGGCCTCTTGATTCATATCCTATGGATAAGATCATTCTAGAAGACAAAAGATCTCAAAGAATAAGATTTTTTAAATCAAGGGCTGATATGAATGTCCCTGATGAAGCTTTCCAAAAAGTTGAAGACCTAGCAGATAATTTCAATGAAGAACTGATGGAAGAAATGATGATGCACAAGAAAATGTATCCATACTAGGACCCACTACATGGAAACATGACAAGGAGCAAAACCCAACAGATGAATTATTCTGGAAGGCTTTAGTTAATGATTGTTATTATGACATGCTACTAAAACACCTTTCCCTTATCTTTACACGTATCTATTGCGATCACCACAAACGTGTTAAGGAATATAAGTCTGGATTAACTTTACTTCTACTCAAAGGGATAAACCATCAACTTTGCTTCTATTCGAAGAGACATACCATCATATCCTATCTTTTCGAATCTTATCCCATCTTATCCATTTGTATGACTAAAATAAAGTGTGAATCATGTTATTTTGACTTTTGTAAGACCATTATTAAGTGTGGGTCATAGTCTTATCATCTTTATTTTGAATTTCACCTTGTATCATAAATTTCGGGTCTGAATTTCAATTTAGTTTAGCGTAGCTTTAGATTCTACTTACTTGATTTTACTATAAATAAGAAATTCTTATAATGTTGTAACTTCGATAAAATGAAATTAACTCCACTACTATTAAATTCGATAATAAATAATTAAATCTCTTATTGTTTGTCTATTATAGACTCTAATATATTCTAAAAATTGTGGATACCTAATTTAATTTTACAAACTCAACTAAAAAATAACTTATATATTATTATTATAATATATTTCCAGTATGATTTTAACATTATGAAGATTGTTTTTGCTTCTCAAATTTTTTTATCTAAAAAGGCCATTATTCTAACCTAATGCACTTCTTCATGACAGAGAAATTGACACAATAGGTCATCTTCTCACCTTTGTTTTTTTCTGGGTTATGTAGCAGCCTTACATGTCACCATATGGATGATTAGTCAACAGAATATCGTTAAATCATCAATTATTGGATTCATGGTACATTGAACATACACGAAGCTTCCCAATTAATCTCATGACTAAGCGTTAGATTTAGGTAAAATATATTTCTAAATGTCTTAATTAAATTTTTTAATTAAATTTTAAATGTGTTAATGTTTCTTCTGTGGCAGCCCCGCAATGATGAATATGTGGCTTTACACATAAAGTGAGCAAATAAAAACCGCAATGGATGGCTGGTTCTGGTGACTGAAATGTCACAACTTTTGCTTATGTGTGTGCATACGTAAAAAGCCATTAAACACGAAACCTGAGATTATGACATACTCAAAATTGATTTGAACACAAACATTAATATTTCAACGTGGCAGTGGGTCACAATACTTACTGTTTAGGGGAAGAAGATGACAAATTTGTGAAACAAACAAGGAGTGGTTAGTTATGGAATTATATTGATTGAAAAATATATATATATTTTCTAGATGTGGTATCAGTTTTTGTTATCTTTTATTTAAAAAATTATAGAGAATTTTGTCATGAGGGTTTTATATATATTATTTCGAGGATTTTAAAAATATATATTATTATTTACATAAATATTTCAAATATAATGATATATGAAATCGATTATTAAAGTGGATTAAAATAATAATAATGTTATCATAATAAATATAATAAAAAATATAAAATACAAGAGTTAAAAAACATTAATACCTACTAAATTTAACCATTTTTTCTTAGTATCATGTCATGATTAAAGAAAACAACTATTATTTCTAAATGGGGTAATAGTAAAGAGTCTTAAAATCAAGAAAAAACAACTATCTCACTCATAAATAATATTGACGATAATTTACTTAAAAAGAACCCTAATGGTGTTTTAGGGAGAGTAATCATATTGAATATCTTTAATGTAAAAAGGGAAAGATATTTGTTTAAATGGGAGAATAACAATCATGTACCATCCATTTCCAAGTTAAAGAGATTGTGCTTCACTACTTTATTGTATAAACCATTATCCCATGCTCAAGCCTCGTCACCCTTTACCTCACTCACAAGAATTTCGAATCATAGAATAAACTTTATAACTATATATAATATAATATATATAATAATAACCCACTCATAAGAACCTGCTTTGGTGTCACAACTTTTTTTTTTTTTTGTCAAAATTCACCTCTAAATTCCCGCCCTCAATACATCACTTATTGATTGATTATTTACTTTGAATATGTGTTTAAGTTATTCAAATGTTAAATAAAGAAAAGTAAAATATTAATTTTTTAGAAGTTAAAGAAACTTGTAATATTTGTGGTAAGAGTTAAATTGCATAGTGCATATTTTTGTCCCTTGGCACAGGTGAGTCGTCGTTATCTTCTACTATTTGCTTCGACTTTGATTCCAAGAGAAAAAAAAAAAAAAAAGGGATAGCTACCAAGCGAAGCTAAGCTAAGCTTCTCTAAGCTTTGGTGTGTCCCACCGAGTGAACCACAGAGACACCCTCTTCCACTCCGTCTTCTCCACTTCTTCTCCTTCTCCTTTCTTCCGTCTCCCACGCACCGCCGATTCCTCAACCCTAATAGCCTTTTTGCTATCTCTCTCTCTCTCTCCTCTCCCCCTCATTTCGAGCATTCCTCCGCCTTTTCTTCTCTCGAGCCACTGTCATGGCCGTCGTTTCGCGAGCGCCCACCACCTACACGCGCCACCACTTAACGCGACGCGACTTCGATACAAAAACCAAACTCTCTGCTCCCAACACGTTGTCATGCTCTTCCTGGGATTCTGCTAAGAAGCCTCCTCCGACGCCGAGGATTGCCACACGTGGCAGTAGAGTGATTGTTGCTGCGAGCCCTCCCACTGAAGACGGTGTAGTTGCCGCTGACCCACTCACCAAGCAGGATCTCGTCGATTATCTCGCCTCGGGTTGCAAGTCCAGGGAAAAATGGAGGTGTCCTTTTCACGTTTCGCTTTTCTTTGACACGTGTTTTTCTATATATTTATTTTGATGTGCTTCTTTCGCTTTTCATGATTGGTTTTGGATTATTTTTAATTATGCGGGCTTCTTTCCGTTTTTATCACCTTTTTTTTTCTTGCTTTGGACATGGTCCACATACTAAAGCTAATAGCCAAGAACTAATTTCAGTGTTTACGGGACGTGGTTTCGCTGCCCAGCATTATTCTTACACCGAGAAAACCTAGTTGTCCAAGCATTTTTTTAACACCTTTGTCCCAGGACATACACTTAACAACAACTGGGCCAAGATGCTAGGTTGTTTTTATCACTTTGAAGCTGTTGTAGAAGAATTAAGATAGTTATGGATTAGTTTCCTTTGTAAACTGATATAATTGCTTGGAATTGGTTTATGTTTTGAATGTAATAAGTCTCGGTTTTTGGTCCTGCATCCAGTTTCCTCAACTCACTGGCTAGATAAATACTATATCTAGTTTACAATAATATGACTATTACTGGCCTTACTGCTTTTTTTACTCACATGAGAGTATATGTTTCATTTAGACCAAGGTTTAAGCTGTCAGTGACTGTAATTGCAGCTGTAACGTCTAGGTTTTTGCGGTCCAGCGACTGCATTGCCTCTGCCAACAACCACATTGTCTGCAATATCAAGGATCACGACAAAACTGCAACCACAACCACGATCACAAGTTCACAACTATCATTTAAAACCTTTGTTTCGACAATTTTTAATGAAAGAAAATATCAAAATGCTTTAACTGCTTAAACAGTCACCACACTGTAGTAATGCTCAAATAGTCACCACACTGTAGTATTGCTCAATGGGCTAGGCTCACAGTCAGTCACACGGTTTTTTGAAGAAATATATAAAGTTGCAGGAAAATATTTTTCTAAAGTGATAGATAAATTTGGACTGAGGAAAAACATTTTCCTAGGTTTCGTGTTTGTTTTTCACGAGGAGGTTTTTTTCGTTATTTTTCTTTCCTTGTTTGAGTTTGTATTTTTAGTTAAGTTTATATAGCACCTCACTAGTTTTCTTGGAGGTTTAAAATTTAAGTTGTCTCGTGTTGATAACTAGCTTGTATGTCTGTAAGTGGTTAATTTTTTCACGTGGTCTTGCAGAATAGGTACTGAACATGAGAAGTTTGGTTTTGAGTTTGGAAGCTTGCGTCCTACGAAATATGAGCAAATAGCAGAATTGCTGAATGGCATTGCCGAGAGATTTGATTGGGATAAAATAATGGAAGATGATAAAATTATTGGACTCAAACAGGTAAGTTAAAATTTGCATGAACAAGAATGGCAAACATTTCATTTGACATTTATAATTTAATTCATTTGTTTAAATTGCATGCATTGTTATTGTTGAATATTTGAAGTATTTTTGCACTTTATGTGAACCAGGGGAAGCAGAGCATATCATTGGAGCCTGGTGGTCAGTTTGAACTTAGTGGAGCCCCACTTGAAACCTTGCATCAGACTTGTGCTGAAGTTAATTCACACCTTTATCAGGTAAGCCACATGCACTTCTTACGGCAATCCATTAACTAAATTTGTTGTTTTGCTGTTAGGAAAGAGATTTATAACTTTCTGTGCAATTATACTTTCTTTGGATAAATCTGTATAATCATTCTGGGTATGGCCATTTAACACATCTTTTTATGTTGTGACGATTCTGTTATCTGATGAACGACCTTATTTCCTTCAGATCTGTAATTATTTCCATATACATATGTTTATAGGTTAAAGCTGTTGCTGAGGAAATGGGAATTGGATTTTTGGGAATTGGTTTCCAGCCGAAGTGGGGAATCAAAGACATACCTGTAATGCCAAAGGTAGTTTTTTCTTTCTATCCCTCTTTAAAGTTCTTGAACCGTTGAACACTTAGTGATATCTCCGCTTAAAAATCTTTCTTAGATGTCATTTACTGACTGCATCAGTTATTACTTAGCCAATCCTATAAAAGGATGACACCATTTCATTTTAGTAATCTTTTTATGAATTTTCAGCTGGGTTCCTGATTTCAGGATTAAATAGCTGTCAAATTTCAGTCATACCTATTCACTAACTATCATGGTTATTAAATAGCAGTTATGATGGGACTTTAATGGAATCGTGTGGAAGTTTTGACACCCACTGCCACTTGCCTCCTGCTTTGCGGCACTTTCTGACATTTTACAATATGTGGCTTTCATGATGGATTTGGACCTTTTTAGTTAAATTGTTGTGAGTAGCATCAAATATGGTTTTAAAACCTTTCTTCATTCTTCTGCGTGTTATATTCTCCCACTTTCTCCTGGGCCGATTGAAGGTCATCTTCTCCCTGCACCATCCGCAGGCAGTTCTAACTCCAGCGACCCAAACTATGGCAACCACCTAGTTAAATCTCTGATTTTTATTTTTTTTTATCAGTTCTTGTCACCATTTTTCTGTTTCTATCTTTTTTAGTTTTGCCATTTTCCCTCCTTCTGTTTTCCTCTTCTTTCTTGATCTGTTTTACCCCTTGCATCATTTCCTTCACACTTCTAGGACAGTTTTAGCCTTGTGGCTTTTATCTTTATCATTAGTGTTGCTCTGATATTTTATGCTAATGTTATTGGATTTTGCTGAATGTTATTTGACTTTCTTCATAGAATATATATTTTTAATTCATCTACCATGTTTCAGCTATTTGCCTTCAATGCCATATTGTCTGGCATATTTTTGTTTTTTTTGCCATAGACTGCCATCTTCAAGGAATTACATTATTCACTGTAATGATTATAGATTATTGCAGCAACCTTTTTTTGCCAGACTTAAGTCCAGGTTTAAATGACATGGAATATGGATATTACTTGTGTATAGTGCTTATATTTGGTCTACAGAACTCTTCACAAGGATTGGTAGCTTAATTTGTGATTGAATGAACATATGTCCTTCTTTTATGTTGCTTTTAGCAAGTGAATGGCTTGTTGGATTTTGCAATTTAGTACATATTTCCTCTATCCTAAGTCACATTGTCAGAAATGCATTGACAAATGCCGTCTTTATCAGTTTATTTTACTATAGCTGCATAGACGCACTTACTTATGGTTACTTATACTTACTTTTGTAACAATCAGTACTTCTACACCAGATATATTGTTATACCAAAGATCATTCTTCATTTCTTAATAAGTGCTAAACCTTGTTTTCAATGTCCTATCAACTGTCTATGTTAGTGGGTTTCGGCAGGTCCTATCATTTGTAGTAACTGAAAGACAGATCTTTCTTGACCTTCGGGGGTTTGATCGCCTGTTTTCTGACTATGTGTTGTTGCACAGGGAAGATATGAAATTATGAGGAATTATATGCCTAAAGTTGGCTCTTTGGGGCTTGACATGATGTTCAGGACATGCACTGTACAGGTATGATGTGTGATCATTTGCATGCTGGTTTTTAACAGAGCCATCCTAATTTAAATGTGGTGAAAACAGTATCTTTTGACACAATAATATATAAGCTGCTCTCATACTGGATAGCAATATATTTTAGCTTTTACTTTTATAGGTCAATCTGGACTTTAGTTCTGAGGTGGACATGATCAGGAAATTCCGTGCTGGCCTTGCTTTGCAGCCTGTAAGAAATGTTAACATTTATTTTTTTGAACATTATTTTTTTGTTGGGGAATTTATTCAGTGCTGTGTGGTGTAATCAGTGTTATCTTTATGACAGATAGCAACTGCTCTCTTTGCAAATTCACCTTTTAAAGAAGGAAAGCCCAATGGTTTTGTCAGTATGAGAAGGTATGTGGAAGTTCTCATGTAGTCATTTCCTTGCACACTTTTCACTGTTAAGGTGCGTAATCCATTTGTCATATGCTTGGAACAGCCATATTTGGACCGATACTGATAAGGACCGCACAGGCATGCTGCCTTTTGTTTTTGATGATTCTTTTGGGTAAGATATTTTTCGTAATTATGAAGAATGAAGCCTTAAAGTGCTATTTCTAAGCCTTCTGACTGTAGGCTTCATTGTATTCTGTGATTTTAAAAGAAGGCATTAAAATACAACTTTTTATCCTTTCTAATAAAAAAACCATAGAGTTTGAAATTTTTTTATTTAAGTACATCATTCAGTTTTTTAAGCCCTTGAATTTGTCAAACCATGAGTTTAAAAGGTCATAGAAGAAAATCATAATAAAGAAATAAATTGAACACGGAGACTAAAACATCAAGGAATAAATTAGATGGTGTGGATATAGTGGTATGAGAAGGACTTCAAAGGAAAAAGTGAGCAAAATTCATATTTGATACATGATCGTACTATTTTTCTATGTGCATTAACTATTAATATATCCAGCAATTTTGTATTTGTCTTTAGTAAAGATTATGTATTATTTTCACTTTGAAGTATGGTAATTATTGTATTGTTTCATCTAACATTCTGAATTACTTGTTCTTGCAGTTTTATCAATGATATTTCATGCAATGATTTGGTTAATTGTTTTTCTCTGTTTCTTCTCCAATTTAATTGCAGGTTTGAACAGTATGTCGATTATGCTCTTGATGTTCCTATGTATTTTGTCTATCGGAAACATAGATATATCGATTGTACTGGAAAGACCTTCAGGGTTCCCATCTATCCTTAATATTCTTGTAATTTAATGCTATTTATTGTGGATCTAGCATTCTTTATCGCAATACTTGCTTTCCTTATCCACAATGTACCTGTAGTCTTGATTTGTTCAATGTAAAGAATTGATTTATTTTTTATTGCAGGACTTCTTGGCTGGAAGACTTCCTTGTATTCCTGGTGAATTACCAACTCTCAATGATTGGGAAAATCATTTGACAACTATATTTCCTGAGGTTAGTTTGTTGGTTTGACAACTTAATTGGTATAATGTTGTTTTTCAATAGATTTGCAGCCTTTTCCTCGTTGTGTTATTATAAACCATTTTTATTTTCAGGTCAGGCTGAAGAGGTATTTGGAGATGAGAGGTGCTGATGGAGGGCCTTGGAGAAGGTTATGTGCATTACCAGCACTTTGGGTGAGTGGCCCTTTTACCACTTGTCCATGATGTTTGTAGTCACTTAGGCTCGGACATTTGGAAGTTAACTTTATCTATTTGTCCTCAATTTAACCATCAAATTGGTGTCGTAGAGTGTAAACACGGAAGTCAAAATGAGGGCTGTCACTTAGCATTTAGCTTATTCATGGAGGTGCTATGTGTGCAACATTTAATGTTTATTGTCTTAAAGTAAAGGAGTAATGTTTTAAATAATAATTGTTTAATTTTTGTTGGGAAAGTCACATATCATTCTCATTTCTTGGGGTATTGCTTATATATCTGCTTTGCAACTTTATGTAATAACAATTGGTTTTGAGATGAAAACTAATATGATATCAAAGTCTATCTTAATAAATCACCTATTTTTGGTAGGCTTGGAACACATGTGGAGATGGGGGTTGTTTGGGAATGTCCCACATAGGTTTTCTAAATCCTTGGGATGTTGCTTATATCTATATTGGCAATTTCACTTAATGCCCATTGGTTTTGAGATGACACTTAACAAGTTTGTTGTTATGTATTTTATATAAAATATAATTAGTCGAAACTTCTAAACAATGTAAGACTTTTGGATGTACAAGAACAATGTTCCGACCGTCATCATTGGGGTCATCAAATCTAAGATATCATTTACTTTTGAAGCACAGGCTCGACGCAACTTTGTCTCTATTTTGCCCTTAAAAGGAATTTTGGTGGGTTAAGAGCATAAAATATATGTAAATTACCCTTAACCTCAATTAGGGATTTGTTTTAATATATCCAAAAATCTCACATCGGTTTTCTGCTTATGAAGATGGTATCAGAAGAGCCTATCCTAGATCCATTAGAAAGATCGCTCATCATGTTATACAACATACAAAGCCTAATAGTGAGGGGGTGTATGGGAAAAGTCCAAGTCCCATCTCAATTGAAGATAGTGCCAAAATTCAGTATATAAGTGGGGATAGTCCTGACTTTACAAACTGATTTTGTAGAGTTGAATACAATATATAAAGTGGCCCATTTTCTAAGATATGTTTGTTGATCAAACTCTTTATCTTTGCTTGCATGCTCTTCTCTTAACATTTGATCTGCTTCAATAACAATTTAGTAACAAACTAAACTAACTGTAATTTTCCTGATTGTGTCAGGTAGGGTTATTGTACGATGAAGTTTCTCTACAAAGTGTTTTGGATTTGACGGCTGATTGGACCCCAGAAGAAAGACAGATGTTAAGGAATAAGGTAGCATCCTTGATAAAACTATTATCGTTTGTATTGCTATTATTCAACCCAGATGCATAAGTTGTTAAGTTCAATCCCAGAAATATTTTATTAATCGACATGTTTTCTCATGCGAAGTGGCCTTGAATCCTTGCTAAGTTATTTTATGTTAGAGGTGATCCTGAGAGATTGATAAAAGGGAGCTGTTTTTTTTTTTTACAAATTCTAATATTCGGTTCTTGAGTTTTAGATGTGACTATATATCACTCGAAACCTGGAAGAGAAAGTATTCATTCTCTGATTTTAGTCCCCACCTCTCTCTCTCACGCCCGCACACACACATGGGGGTATAGACATATATATATATATATATATATATATATATATATATATACTGAAATTTAAGCCTAGAGATTTTTCTTCTTATTTCTTCAAGAGGATTGATATGTCAACCCAGGAGTCAGAAGTTGATTCTTACTATTGGACAGGTTATTTATTTCGTCAATGGTTATTATTCATAATAGATGTCTATACTAACCACTAGAGTCCATGGTAGGTTCCCGTAACTGGTCTGAAGACTCCATTCCGAGACGGTTTGCTGAAGCATGTTGCTGAAGATGTTCTACAGTTGGCAAAGGTAAAAGGCCTAAAAGGTGGCATTATTTTTTGGTATTGCTGTTGTTCTCAATGTTGCTAAGGGAATTGAGTCCACAGGATGGCTTGGAGAGAAGAGGCTTCAAGGAATCGGGATTTTTGAATGAGGTTGCCGAGGTGGTTAGAACAGGTAATGTATTATTTATAGGGTAGATAATACTGTCATTACGCAAATTTAAGCCAAAATTTCTATTGCTTTTTTCATATGCAGACCCGAGTTTTATACCTACATCTTGAAATAGATTTTCTCTACTATGCGATGCTCTCATGCATGCTGCCTTCATCATACTTTTTTATTGTTTTCATTAAAGGTTTTCTCTGTTTTGTTTACTTTTGGACTAATGATCTTCGTGGTGGCAGGCGTCACTCCAGCTGAGAGGCTTTTGGAATTGTATCATGGAAAGTGGGAGCAATCCGTAGATCATGTGTTTGAGGAATTGCTTTATTAAGGTTGTATTATCTTTCAAATGTCAGTGGAAAGTTAATTGTGTAATCCTTTGGCTGTAGTCCTGGTTGTCTCTAATTCGAGCTTCATTTAGATATAGGAAATAATATGTATGTAAATTTTGCCTTGAGGCTTCTCATATACCTTTCTTGGAAACACGATCTGATCTGTGACATATAATTCATGTCACAAATTTGAAAATCCATCAGCAGCTTAATCATTTTAACATGAGCATCGTTAGATCAAATGTTTGTGTTAGATACAATGCTTCAATAATCTTCATTCTTTTTTTCTAAACTTATTATACTCATTCAGTTACTATTTTTTTCAATTATTTTTTTACTATTTTCCATCATTGTTTAAACTTTCATTAATCTATGCACCATTTGAAAGGTATTGTGTAACCATCCAAATTAACTTCCTCTATTTTAAGAAGAGATTACAAGTCAGCGGTCATATGAATGAGTTAGCTTTATTGCATACTCTTTCGCAAGTAGTTCTTACTTCTAAATCATGACATCTATCATGAACAGTACTTTAGCAATTAGCATTGGACAAAATACACAATGCCCTTTGAATATCTTGAAATGCAACTAGTTGGAGAATGAGGGGACTAGGTAGAGGTGGGTGATTGCTGTGGATAGAACATTCTATCTGTCATCCGAAACCTGATTTCATTGAATCAGAATTGATGGACTACCTCATTAGTCTCATCCACTCATTTGAAAACCATATATTCAACAGCATTACTTATCTTTTTGAACTTCTTCTCACATCCAACGCTTTAAGAATTTGATTTAATTCTACGGATATAAATGAAAATTGTAATGCAATTTGATTTTATATTCATGTTCTCTTGTTTAATGATATACGTGAAAAATAGGTTTTTTCTATTGCAAATAACTTTTTTTAAAGCAAAATTTTAAAGATTAACTAAAAGTTAGCAAATTATTATTTTTATCTTAGCTCCGTTTTATTTATCTTCAACAATAAATTAAAATACAAAAACAATACTTACGAAAGATTGTTTGAATCTACAATTGATTATTAAAATACTTTTCAGTAACACTTCTATCTATAAAATCACCTAGTGTGTCACAATCACCAGATAATGCAACCACCAGATATTGGCTGAATTAGCAACCACCTTAAATCTTTTGTGAATGGTAGACGTATGAGATAATATGGAATATTCGCAACTTTTCCGTTCACATATTCTCTCTCTCTCTCTCATTAAATTACGGATTAATATTCTCATATACAGTTTCTCTTTCGCTATAGAAGGGTAAACAATAATTCCACCAGCTGGTGATATTCCACGAATAAATGGCAGCGAATGGGAAATATTTGCTGTTTTTAATTTAAATTTTTCTGGAAGATAATTTATATATTTAAGGAAGATGAGGGATTGGGATTCTCACACCGATACCTAACTATTGCATTAATGGCATGAAAATAGTTGTCTTTAGAAGGATACAACTTGTCTTCAAAAATTCATATTCTCTGTCAACATCCTCACTAAAGGACTTATATGACTTTGAACATACAATTTTCAAAGTTTTGTTCAAACAATTTATGGAGAATTATGATATAAAAAGATAACATTTACTAACATGTCTCATATAACATTTATTACCACGTCTCAATTCAAGTTATGATTTTTTTTTTATATATAATTTTAAGTCAATATACAGAGATGATTAATATTATCGTTTGATTGTAAACGCAATCATTTATATATCCTTCTAAAATAGTAGTAATGGATTATAAAAAATAAAAAATAAAAAATAAAAAAGATGATACTCAACTAGTTTGCCTACAAATGGAAAAATTATAATTATTTTCACAATTAAAGATTATAAAAAGGAGAAATAGAACATTTGTCTTTTAAAAAGTTATTATCTTCGCAGCAAAGATTATAAAACAGATATAAAATATTTTAATCAAAACTAAAATAAATAACCCTTAATAAAAGGTTATTAATTTATGCATCAAAATATTTAAAGCTAATAAATGTTAATGCCCAAGACACCTTCAACTAAAAAAATAAAACATTAAACTAAGTTTAACTTAACTGTCTAGTTTACATACCCTGTACTCTGTGACAAGACTTTAACTTAACTGTCTGGTGTACATACCCTGACTCTGTGACAAGACTGCAACAAATGTACAAGTTAATAGAGTGTGCGTAGCAAAGGAGGTGGAAATTAGTTGTGAAATGAGTGAGGAAAAGCACGGTGACCAAACAAGGAATGGACAATTATTGGAATAGTAATTGACAGATGGGATATCAAGTGGTAGGAAGAACTGATAATTCAGATATTTGGCTTAGCTAGCATGAGGCCATAACAAAACAACAATCATGCAATGCAACTTCTTGTCCCTTTCCACGTCCAGCTCATTACACTAATTGGAGTAAGACACAACCCCTTCCCAACAAACCCACATGAAACTATTAATTCAACTTCCATTCATTTTTATTTTCCAATCGACACTAAGAAAAGCAAGTACCATTTTTATCACCTCCTTTTGCCTTGCCCCTACAAAAGGACCACCCCTTATTCTTCCCTTATCAACTTGTACAACATCTATTCTAATTCAGCAGTAAGGTTTCTGAATCACTAGCTGAACCCTCTTCAATATGAGAGAAATCCTCCATGTTCAAGCTGGTCAATGTGGCAACCAAATTGGAGGCAAGTTTTGGGAGGTGATGTGTGATGAACATGGGATTGATGCCACTGGAAATTACATAGGGGATTCTCATCTTCAACTTGAGAGGGTTAACGTGTACTACAATGAAGCAAGTGGAGGACGCTACGTCCCTCGAGCTGTGCTTATGGACCTTGAACCAGGGACCATGGACAGCCTTCGATCTGGTCCTTATGGGAAAATTTTCAGGCCTGATAACTTTGTGTTCGGTCAAAATGGAGCTGGAAACAACTGGGCCAAAGGGCATTACACTGAAGGAGCAGAGCTTATTGATTCTGTTCTTGATGTTGTTCGTAAAGAAGCTGAGAACTGTGACTGCTTGCAGGGTACCACTTTTTTAGTTAATTCAAGTTCTTATTGAATTGATAAATTCTATGTTCATTCGTTGAGGCATGTCCTTTATTATTGACAAACTCTAGATTCAGATCCTTACATAATTTTCATTTTTATTACGAGGATAATATAATTAAATTTTTAATTCTGATCTAAGGATAGCACTAAAATATCTGAAAAGCTATATACAGGTTTTGTGTACTTTTACTCTTGAAGTATGTTTTGATCCGATCCTCAATCAAAATTAGACCTTTAGTTGACAACGTATTCTTAAATTTCATGTTCACATTCTTGGAACTCTAATTCTGATAGAAAACAAGATAAAAAAAAGAATTAGATATAAGTTTTGTACTTTTTGAAGCTTTGGATTTATTTATAGTTTTATGCGTATGAAAATGGTTTGTTTGATGATCATTGCAGGGTTTCAAATTTGTCACTCACTGGGAGGTGGAACTGGGTCTGGAATGGGTACCTTGCTTATCTCAAAGATCAGAGAAGAGTACCCAGATAGGATGATGTTGACATTCTCAGTGTTCCCGTCTCCTAAGGTCTCTGACACAGTAGTTGAACCCTACAATGCCACTCTCTCTGTTCACCAACTTGTTGAGAATGCAGATGAATGCATGGTCCTTGATAATGAGGCACTCTATGATATCTGTTTCAGAACACTCAAGCTAACAAATCCAAGTTGTAAGTTTGTCACCCCAACCCTACTCTTTTAACACATTCTCTACTCATCATTTATCATCTCCAATAAAGTAAGCTTTTCATGAAAATTCACCTGAATGAATGAATACGCCAGAGCATGACTTAGGTTGGAGCAGAGCACTTTAATGTGGAAAATTTCATTATCAGTAGAAATATTTCCTTCACACCCACCAACTCAAGTAAAATTTATAAAGAATAATGGGGTTCATGATCATTAAAAGAAAAACTTTAACTCTTTATATTAAATTTCGGTGAAATTGTAGTAATTTTTTTTATAAATATTTAGTTCAAACAATAATTACTAAGATGAATGTATTGGATATGTGTATATGTTTTTGTTGGTGACGGTGAAATGTATGAATGAATGCATGCAGTTGGTGATCTGAACCATTTGATCTCAACAACAATGAGCGGAGTAACGTGCTGCCTCCGCTTCCCCGGCCAACTAAACTCCGACCTCCGGAAGCTCGCCGTGAACCTCATCCCCTTCCCTCGGCTCCACTTCTTCATGGTGGGTTTCGCGCCGCTAACCTCCCGCGGGTCCCAGCAGTACCGCTCCCTCACCATCCCGGAGCTCACCCAGCAGATGTGGGACGCGCGCAACATGATGTGCGCCGCTGACCCCCGCCACGGCCGCTACCTGACGGCATCGGCGATGTTCCGCGGGAAGATGAGCACGAAAGAGGTGGACCAGCAGATGATAAACGTGCAGAACAAGAACTCGTCGTATTTCGTTGAGTGGATTCCCAACAACGTGAAGTCCAGCGTCTGCGACATTCCCCCCACCGGCCTCTCCATGTCCTCCACCTTCATGGGCAACTCCACCTCCATCCAGGAGATGTTCCGCCGTGTCTCCGACCAGTTCACTGTCATGTTCAAGAGAAAGGCTTTCTTGCATTGGTACACCGCCGAGGGCATGGATGAGATGGAGTTCACTGAGGCTGAGAGCAACATGAACGACTTGGTGGCTGAGTACCAGCAGTATCAAGACGCCGCCGCCATGGAAGAGGGAGAGGTTGATGAGGAAGAAGAGGATGACATCCCTGCATGAGAATCATATCATCTGTGTCCGACAACATCAGTATAGTCGAAAACTTGTGTCAAAGTTTTGGACTTTGATACAATGATATCCATCTATCAAATAATTTCTGCTGGTTATACATGTTATGAAATGCAAGTATGAAGACTCTTCTTTGTAATAGCCTATGGGGAAGGGAAGGGTGTGTTATACATGTGTATAGTTATGCGTTGATTTGCAAGATAAAGGTAGGTGCATAGTGATTGGGGTGAGGAATATTTTTAAGGATTTTGCTTTGCTGTTTTTGTTTCTCATTGGCTTTAATTTGTTGTGGAATTTGGTTGTTTTTGTTGATTGTTAATGCTGCCTCATGGTTTTTGTTTTGTCTGCATCTCACTTCTTTTATCTTCTTCTTATCACTTTGTCCATGCCAATAGTTTATTTGACCAGATGTATCGTTGGTTGAGAAATCATTCATAAGTTATTTAAAACCCCAAAGTCAATTATTATTAAAGGGAAGTTCACCTGAGTTCGACCGAAACTTACTTGATAAGCAGACATTATTTTTCATATTACTTTGAGTCTATAGTTTAGGGCTAAGGCATTTGATCTTACACTTAATTTAGTTAGGTTTTTTATTTAATACTTTTTTGTTGTTAAAAATTATTTTATTATTTTATGTTAATTAATTTGTATTTTAATAGTTTTAGATTCAGACATCAACTGGGGGTCCATAGCTCAGTGGTAGAGCATTTGACTGCAGATCAAGAGGTCACCGGTTTGAACCCGGTTGGGCCCTTTCATTTTTTACAAATTTACTGACTTAAAGTTATTTTTCGTAGTTTTAAAATAGGATATCAAAATGGGTTCATAGCTCAGTGGTAGAGCATTTGACTGCAGATCAAGAGGTCACCGGTTCGAACCCGGTTGGGCCCTAATTTTTAAATTACCTTAATAAAGACCTACTGACAAGAGGCAAAGGGATAGTACAAAAGAAAACACATTTTGGTCAAAGGATTGATTGGAGGCAATGGAGAAATTACAGAAAACAAAATATTAAAAGAATTTATTAGATGCAATATCAATATTAAAGATACAAAAACAACCTATTTCATGTTGACACGGTAGCCATTACCAATTGTTCTGTACATTAAATTACAAGCACAACAACAGCATCTGCTGTTCACTCAACAAATGCTGACATACACTGACAAGTGAATCTTACCTTTACAAACACAACTCTCTCCCAAAAGTTTCTCAAATCCTTCCCATCATCTTTATACCAACATAGATGACTAAACAACAAAAAGAGAACCCCAATGCAAATACACATTGTATAACTTAGGTGACTCTAGTCTGTGCAAAAGAATGCTTCTAGCAACAAATGAACCAGTCATGCACAAGTATAATAAACCACTCTATTCCATCCAATACAATTTGTCCGATACTGGAGCCCCCTGTAACATTGAGAAACCAGCACTTGTTCTGTGTAAGTTATCTTCAGGAACAAGAAAGTAAGGTTTGGCAAAGAACCCAACTAATTTGTGCTCTTCTTAGTTTCAAGCGAGGAACCCTCTTTAAGTGCCATTTGGGCATCATTCTCTTTGCCCATTGCTAAAAGTGCAACAGCTTGTAAATAAAATGCAATGTACCAAACGGGGGATATTACTTGTGCTTGCATTGCATCATTAAGTGCTTCATCGGCCATGTTGCTCATAAGATAACATAGACTACGACGTGCATAAACAGTTGGAGAAACCATGGTTCCAACATCAATGAACTGTGTTACACAACAAAACCATCAGTGGCACATCATAACTGGCCTAATAATCATGAATATAGGCTACTGAAAAAAAGAACTAGTCATATGATGAAAATATATTTTAAACTAATTTACAAAATCATTCACTCTGTGTCTTGATTTTGTATATCATACTTTTCAACTTTGCAATATTTGAATTGTATCACTTTCTTTCCTAGCTTAGAAAGGAAAGTTATCGTTTTATATAATGAATTTCACATCTAAAACGGATTCAGTCCTGTTATCATCCCACTAAGTCAGGAGGGGACAGCAACTGATTTTATAAAAAGCTTAATTTCTCTTTTGATCCTCTACTTTCTCAATTTTGCGAATTTCAAACCCCATTTTTTTTTTTATTAATTTATCTCTCCACTATCAATTGAACAATTTTGGACCATATGTTAGCTTAACACTCAATATTCAACAAAAATGTTGAGGTGACACTCTAATGCCCTGGCCTATTAGCACAATCATGTTGACGTGACTCTGCACTATACTGCTACATTATTATTTTTGCTGAATATTGGATGTTAAGTTAATGCATAATCCAAAATAACTAGGAATGAGTGCATACAGACCCAAAACTGCAGACCTCAAGGCTAATGGACCTTGTTTTTCTAAATCAGCATAATTACAGTCAATTTCCAGATCTGATATGTTAAAACACCCGCAGATTTCCAAGGACTCAGAAAAAAAAGGAGTTACACAAGTAACTAACAACTAAGAAAAGGAATTTCATTTAATTTGGTAAATTTTAGGAAAAATAAATAATTTTCTTCTAAATTGATAGATTTTTAAATTTTTTGTGTTATTATTTCGGTCCACGAACTGGTCTTTTTTTCTGTGGGCTTTTGAACACCAGAGCCAACAAATTGAAGGAGGAACCAAAGTAAATCTAAGTCACTCTTCAATATAACCAAGAGCCAAGAAATTACTAACCATCGTATAGCTATCAATTGCCGTTTGAAAATCTTTATGCCGAAAAGCAGCATCACCTTTCTTCTTTGAGTTCAACGTTTCCTGCATCTGGTTCGTCCACATTTGGAATGAAAGCTGCTTGATACGAAAATTTAATAAAGAAATCAGTGGACAACAGAATCAGCCAATCACCAAGGAGAAACAAGTCAATACAATAGAATTCTGAAAAGAAAAGACGTCAAGTCAAAGATTCAAGATTAGACCAACATGTTTTAACTAAGCATGCAAACGAAAAATTGTAGTTCATAAATGAAAAACTTAATTATTACAACCATGTATATGTTGTCTGATTCCCTTTCTCACTAAAGATTAAACTACTAAAGTGTCAAACAAAGGACCCAATAAATTCCTAAGACCAACAATGAATTATTTCAGGGTCAATCATGTAACTTTCTCCACAATCAAGACAAACAACAGCAGCAGCCTTATCTCACTGTTAGGCTCGCTACATGGATTGCATGACACCATTGGATTTAGTTAAAGACCACATTTTCAAAGACATTGGACCGGTTTGTTTGAATTGACTTTTTTAAAAATGTTTTTTTTTTTTAATAAAATACTCAGTGTTAGATATGGTTAACCACAATATCTTCTATTTACTTTATTTATTTTCAGTTACTCTTTTTAGTTGTATCTCTCACTATTATAAATAAATTACCCTGTGTGTGGTTTATATATAAAGAAGATTAATCTCAAACCTTATTTTCTTATATTCAACATGGTATCTAGAGCTGCCTTTGTCCACTGCTACCATCGCCGCTGCTGCCGGAGCCGTCGCCAGAGCAGTCACCGGAGCCATCATCGGAGTTTCATTTTTGATCGGTGACATACGATTTTGCTCGTCTCGATCAGGTGACCACCGTGCGTTGAGATCACCACTATCGGAATTGGTCGTCCGTTGTCTCCTGCGCCGTTTAGTCTCGATGGATTTATTTTGATCTTCTTGTTTTGAATCTGTGCTTCGTGGGTTGATTAAAATTTTTAGGGTTTGTTCTCCCGCCCTTCATGACTTCTTCCACTCCTTCTACTACTTCCAATTCTGTTAATGATTCTTCTACGTTGACATCTCACTGTGATGACCGGACTCACCCTCGCAAACAGGGAAAAATACGTTATAAGTGTGAACATTGTGGCAAGCTAGGTCACAAGATTAACAAGTGTTATGCATTACATGATCGTCCTCCTCGATCTACTATAGTTGTTCAGACCGATCTTTCCCCATCTTTGTCTGCTGGGATCCTCCTTCTTCTATTGCATCCGACGCATCTGCTATGTTCAACAAATTTCTCAAATGGTATAAGGATAAACAGTCTTCTAGTTCCATTACTTTTATCGTACACACATGTACATATTTTGTTGGTCTGACCCAATCCTCTTCTCCTGGTCCTTAGGTTTTTTATTCAGGAGCCACTGATAATATTACTAGTAACAAATCTTTGTTTTCCTCTTTATCCTCTCCTAATCTTTTACCTTATGTTACACTGGCTGATGACTCTAGAGTATTATCTCATGGTGTTATAACTGTTAAATTTTTCCCTTTTTTAACCATTGATAATGTTCTTCATGTCCTTTGGTCTCCTTTTAACCTGTTGCCCATTAGTCGTCTAACTCATTCTCTTGATTGTGTTGTTTCTTTTACCAACAATTCTGTGTGTTTACAGGACCGGAGTTCGAAATAGGTGATTGACACAGGATGTGAGTCTCGTGGTCTTTATCATCTCTGTCCCTCTACACATGTTGGTGTAGTTATGAAGTCTCCCTCTCTTCTTCATGCTCAGTTAGGTCATCCAAGTCTTGCCAAGTTATAGAAGCTTGTCTCTGCCTTGTCCAACTTGTCTAGTTTGACGTGTGAGTCGTGTCAATTAGGCAAGCATAGTCATACTTCCTTTCCTCGTAGTATCATACGTGGTGTTTTGTCCCCTTATGCCGTTGTTTACTCTGACATTTGGGGACCTAGCCGCGTTAAATCTATTTTAGGTTTTCAATACTGTTACTTTCATTGATGATTATTCCAGATGTACTTGATTTTTTTTAATGAAAAATCGTTCTCAATTATTTCATATCTTTCAAAATTTTTTTAATGAAATTCAAACTCAGTTCGGTGGTTCTATTAGAGTTTTGTGCAGTGATAATGACCATGAATATCTTTCTAATTATTTTAAACAATTCATGGCTTCTCACGGTATTCTGCATCAAACTTCTTGTGCTTATACACCTCAACAAAATGGTGTAACTGAATGTAAAGATAGACATCTTATTGAAACAACTCGCACTCTTTTAGTTCATGGAGAGATTCCTCAACATTTTTAGGGTGGTGCTCTTCTTACTACATGTTATCTCGTTAATCGCATGCCTTCTTCGATTTTAGATAATAAAATACCTCATTCCATTTTATTCCCTCATGAACTTCTTCATCCCTTACCTCTAAGAGTTTTCGGGTCTACATATTTTGTTCATAATTTAAGTCTTGATCTTGACAAACTTTCTCCTAGATCACATAAATGTGTTTTCTTAGGGTTTACAAAATCACAAAAAGCATACAAATGTTTTTCTCCTTTTCTTAAGAAAACCGTTATTTTATGTCTGCAGGTGTCACTTTTGATGAGTTCTCCCTTTATTTTAAAAGTCAATCTTCACCTCTGTCTCCATCCAATCCTGTCAACACTCCTAGTTTATTTAATGTTCCTGTTGTTTGTGACCCTCTAGCTGTGTCTTCTTCAACATTAGTTCTTGCTCCGTAGTCAGTTTCTTCTTCACCGTCTCTTCAGGTTTATAGTCGTCGAAACCAATCACAACCACCACCATGTGACTCCACTCAAGTGCCAATTACTCTGTCTCCTCCGGATCTGACACCTAAGTCTGACCTTCTCGTTGCCCTCTGAAAAGATATTCGTTTTACACGTAATCCCTTTCCCTATTATATTGTTTTAAGTTATCATCGACTGTCATTACCTTTTTATACATGTCTTTCCTCAATTTCTTTTGTGACCATTTCAAAAACTATCCATGAAGCTTTAGCCCATCCTGATTGGCGTCAGGCCATGGCAGATGAACTAAGTACTCTTCATAATAGTAGAACTTGAGAATTGGTCCCATTACCGTGTGAGAAATCTGTTGTTGGTTATAGGTGGGTATTTGTTATTAAAGTTGGACCTGATGGTACTATTAATCGCCTCAAAGCTCGTCTTGTGGTCAAAGGTTATACTCAAATTTTTGGGTTAGATTATTCTCCCCCGTGGCAAAAATGGTTTTTGTTCGTTTATTTATCGCCATGACTGCTCTTCAATAATGACCTCTTTATCAACTGAATGTTAAAAATGTTTTTCTCACTGGTGATTTGCAAGAAGAAATCTATATAGAGCAACCTCCTGGGTTTGTTGCTCAAGGGTGTCTTTTGGGATGATATATCGTCTTCGCAAATCCCTATATGGTCTAAAACAGTCTCCTAGGGCCTAGTTTGGAAAGTTTAGCAAGGTTTTCAACAATTTGGTATGACTCGGTGTGAAGCATATCATTCTGTCTTTTATCGACACTCGAGTGCTGGATGTGTTTACTTAATAGTATATGTTGATGACATCGTTCTTACATAGTGACAACCATGACATCGTTCTTACATAGTGACAACCATGACATCTCTCAGTTGAAACAACATCTTGGCAAACTCAAATATTTCTTGGGTATTGAGGTGATAGTTCAATGATGGTATTGTTATATCTCAGAGGAAGTATGTCATGGATATTTTGAAGGAAACTAGGTTGATGAGTTTAAAGTCTATTGATACACCCATGGATTCCAATACTAAACTTCTACCAAATCAGGGAGAGCTTATATCTGATCCTGAGCAGTATAGAAGATTGGTTGGAAAATTGAATTATCTTACAGTTACTCGTCCTGATATTTCCTTTACAGTCAGTGTGATAAACTAATTTCTTAATTCTCCATGTAAAAATATATTAAAGGATCTCCTGAAAAAGGATTGTTATATGGTTCTAATAACCATACAAGAGTTGTTTGTTACTCAGATGTTGATTGGGCAGAATCTCCTTCTGATAGAAGATCTACATCTGGATATTGTGTCTCCATTGGTGGTAATTTGATCTTGTGGAAAAGTAAGAAACAGAGTGTTGTGGCAAGATCCAGTGCAGAAGCAAAATATAGAGCTATGAACTCAGCTGCTTGTGAACTTGTTTGACTCAAGTTGCTTAGAGAGTTACAATTTAGAGATGTAACTCAAATGACACTTGTGTGTGACAATCAGACTGTTTTTCATATTAGCTCTAATCCTGTCTTTCATGAGAGGACCAAACACATTAAGATTGACTGTCATTTCATTCGAGAAAAGATTATGTCTTGAGACATCAAGACTGAGTTTGTTAACTCAAGTGATCAGTTAGCAGATATTTTTACTAAGTCTTTACGGGGGCCTAGAATTGATTATATTTATAACAAGTTTGACACATACGATTTGTATGCTCCAGCTTGAGGGGGAGTGTTAGATATTGTTTGATATTATTAGATATTGTTAACCACAGTATCAAACAATATATTCTATTTACTCTATTTATTTTCAGTTACTCTTTTTAGTTGTATCTCTTTCTATTATAAATAGATTACCCTATGTGTGGTTTATACACAAGGAAGATTAATCTCAAACCCTATTTTCTCTATATTCAACACGCAAATTTATGTTTTTCTAATCTGCTCATTTTAAAAATGAAAAGTTTTCAGCATGTTCTAATAAGCAAATCTTATTTACTTATTAAATAAGTGATTTTATTTTCTAAATTACTTATTTTAAATTTAAACGAACTGACCCAAATAAAGATCCTTATTAACAATTTTTGCTAATGTCCTTCTTATTCTCCTTCCCCATTTTACAAGATTAAAAGCCATGCATTATATTTTTCTCATAGCCGCTTCCACTAGTCTTCTTTCAACAACCATCTTAACCAAGTTTTTCATATTTTCTCCTGTCAATGTCCATCCTATGCTTTCTTGTGTAGCTACACATTTATTTGAACATTCTCTATTTTGCTACATTCACATTT